CTACAAAGATTATCTAATTAACCGTTGTTAATCTTGTGAAAATAGAAATCTTTATTTACCCCCTCGTGAAACCAAAAAATATGAAAACACACCTTACAATGGAAAGTGTGGTCAGAGCTTTGAAACATAACGTATATCACAAAGGTAAATGATTCACAGTTTTGAAATATAACACACGTTACAAAGGGAAATGCCTCGTAGCTTTGAAAAATAACACACGTTACGAAGGGAAATGCCTCATAGCTTTGAAAAATAACACATGTTACGAAGGGAAATGCCTCGTAGCTTTGAAAAATAACCCACGTTACGAAGAGAAATGCCTCATAGCTTTGAAAAATAACACACGTTACGAAGGGAAATGACTCATAGCTTTGAAAAATAACACACGTTACGAAGCGCCATAACAAGTTCTTGATCATTTCCTAACTTTTCGTTCATAATGAACATTTCTGTTCTACAACCAATAAGGAAACACGTCTCATACTACTTTGGAGAGAAATCGTGAAGAACAAAATGCATTTCATTTTAATAAATCTAAATTACCTTTAAACATCATAAATAACGTTGTAAAATATGCTGAATCATATGTATATTTTATAGTAAATATCTAAGGAACGGTTATTTCATACCTGTTGGGCTGTTTCACTTTCTCTGGCATCCGCTTATTGCTGCTCAAATAACCAGAACCCTTCCCTGTAAGATCATGATGTCTATCTCTTGGTTTATTGGCCTTCAATAACGAGAGGCATTTCAAGGACAGCCTGCTGTAGGGCTGATTCGTTAATTGTGAACTGAAGATTCCCGAGTACCCCTAGGCTGACATTCAAGAACTCTCATATAAAAATGAATCTCGTGAGGCGTGTTCAAGTAACACTCACTGAATACAAGATGAACGTAGAGCGAAATATAAAAGAAATGAACTGTACAAAGCAAGTGTAATTTCAGCTTCAGCTGTCATTCTAGTCACCATCCGAAAGCATTGCACATTTCTGTGGGCGTGGCATTAATTTCATACTTAGATTTGTTATCTTAATCATTGAAGAATAGGCTTAACAGTACAAATCAGCTTCACATTATTCAGATTCTTCTTCTTTAAAGTTAATTTTGTTAATATTTACAATAATTGTGAGTGTTATTCTTTAGTCCCACCCCCCGCCTATCGGTGTTTCAGTGGTAAGTCTGCGGGCTTATAACACTAACAACTGGGTTTCGATATCCGCGGTGGGTAGATCACAGATAGTCCAATGTGTACTTAATGAAAGTTATTTTGTTTTGTTAGTTCAGCATACAGGTAATCTAAATACGTTTGTGTACTCGCGTAATGCTTTGCTAAAGCTAACCGCCCTACTTTTGAACTGATAGTCCCCCGCCAACTCTTGGGCTAATGTAATCGAATAGTAGAGTTTGACTATCACAATTCGCCCCCCAGTGGCACAGCGGTATGTCTGCGGACTTACAACGCTAGAATCCGGGTTTCGACACCCGTAGTGAGCAGAGCACAGATAGCTCATTTACAAACAAACTATCACTATACACTGCAACTTCAAAGTGCGAAAAAAAATACTTTTTTGCAGTAACGAGACACGAACCATGGACCCTCTAATCCATAGCCTGGCATGCTAAAAACAATTGTAGTGTTGATGGTCACTGAGTTCTCGTCAGTTGCAGTGCATATCTCGCCTTCATCACGCTTGTGTAAGAACACAATTACAGTTACCGTGAAAAACTTGGAATTTTTTTTTGTTATCCAGTGAGAATATTAAGTTGTGGAAAATAATCTTCATACGGATTTCAGGACAGTTACTAGTGTACAAAAGTTATGTTTGGTGTAAAAAAAAAAGTAGTCCTGACATGGCCTGGTGGTTGGGGCACTCGATTCGAATCTGGGAGTCGCGGGTTCGAATTCCACCACCGAACATGAGATTTTATTTACATCATTAATACTCTGATATTTTTCAAAAACACTGCCAAACTTATGCATTATATACTCCTTATATTTACATATGACATAGACGCTATTTTCGGACCCATTATCACCAGTATTAAAAAAACACGCCTTTATTGTTTACTTTAACCCCTTCCGTGTCAAGCTGTTCTTTTTTTTGTTGTTGTTAAATGAGCTCAAAAACGTCAGGTTCTCTTTATTTCCCTTTATGTTTGTTTTTTTTGTTTTGTTTTTTTAATTATGCACAAAGCTACACAAGGGCTATCTGTGCTCTGCCCACCACGGGTATCGAAACCCGGTTTCTAGCGTTGTAAGTCCGCAAGACATACCGCTGTGCCACTGGGGGCTTCCCTTTCTGATAATCTATCATGACACCTGACAACATGTGAATAAATTTGGGCCAATAATTAAAATTACGGGCAAATGTTTTCTTGAAATATGGAGGGCGCCTGAGTTTCTCGGGAAAATCACGGAAGGGGTTAAAAACCAACCTGCCTCGACTTACGAAAGTTGATATGACTGCAAACAGAAGCCTTCATGTGAGGTTGAAACGATGTGTGCTGAGCCGTTCACCTGGCGAAACGTCGCCTATACAACAAACCAAATTAAACTCCATAAAACACCTTTCAGCCGAACTACAGTCCTTAGGCACTTGTTATTAAAGTCAAAATAATAATTTAAGCTATGACTTGTGCTGCCATCTATGGAGCAAATTAGCAATCACATCCTGAGAAAATATCGAGATATCTCTAATAACGTGTTATAAGGATACGTTTTCACCTATGAATGAAAGAAAAGTAATGTAACAAAATAGACGTACATTTGGAACAGTCGTAAAGATAAGTTTAAGTATACTTATACATAAGCTTCAACTATACATAAGCTCTGACAAGTCGGAGTGCAACGTGACGTTCGTGTGAAATGCAAATGTTCATTATCATTATACAATTTGCAGATTGGATCAGCATAACCTATAGAATCTCCGAAATGCATATATACAATTATTTGTCAGTATCCCTGCACACTGTATCTGGTATTTACTCTACTGTCACTAAATCAGCAATATAGATTGAAGCATTGATAATTATGATATCAAATACATGATACTATGTTGAATGTCACTGTGTAAATGGTCGTGGCATGCGTACTTTGACTCCCCCCCCCCCACTTTTCCCTGTTCGTACTATCTATGAAACAAAAATTGAAAACTATGTCAAGTTTAGAATAAGTCATCATTTACTGATCAAACTAGTTAAATATAATATCGTGATATCCATCAGTAGGAATGGCTTAACTTTGTAAAGGATTTAAACAGAGTAGACTACACTGAAGTCAGATCGCATTAACCTGGTGTGTAAGGTGAATGACGTTTCGGTCTTAGCGCTGAGCCCGGAGATTGAAACGTTGGCTACTTCTATACTCCAGGCAGGCGCAGTACATAAACATTTCGGGTCTGGTAATCTTCAAACGTTTCTTCAATAAGGATTATATATATATATATACGTATGCAATGTTTTAACGCTTATGTAAGAGAAAATTCTTGTGTTCTATTTAAACTAACTGTAAACATAAAAATTACAAGCTCATTGTTTATTACTAATACAGTTCTGATGGTTTCTAATGTTTGAAAACGAAACTCGCCTACAGGGACATCGTGAACGCCCTAAGATAACGCTCAGGAGGAGAGAACAACTTCTTAGGCTTACTTCTACTAAACCAAACGACTACAAATATTCCAGCAAATGTTTTACGAATATTTTTCATTGTATCATCCGGCTCTTCTGAACCTTCTTCAGAACCAGATTGGGAGCCTCGCCGAAAGAGCGAACCAGTTCTACGGTCAGAAGGATGAGGTGGTAGTGCTGCAACTACTGGTTGACCAGTTCGTTGCATCGTGGTTTGTTGAGGAGGAGGGCGTTGTTGTGTAGGTGTCTCTGATGTAGTTGGAATTGTTTGCTCTGATTCTGCACTTCTGGTTGAAGACTGTGAACCTGTCGCAGTGGATGAAGAAGGGAAATTTTGAGTTACCTGCGGTGGTGCTAGTAGCGCCCTCTGTTGAGCTATATCGCCACTTAATCGTGGTGGAGTTGATGATACAGCTTGTTGAGACATATTGATATTTGCTTGAAGTGGTCCAATTTCACTATTAAGTGTGTATTCTCTATTGAAACTTAAATAGTTAAGGCTATTAAGTGTGTATTCTCTATTGAAACTTTTTTTATTAAGGTTCGAGTATCACAAGTTCAGCAACAACAGAGGCCACCAACGTCGTCCCTTAACTATTTAAGTTTCAATAGAGAATACACACTTAATAGGCTTAACTATTTACGTTTCAATAGAGAATACACACTTAATAGGCTTAACTATTTAAGTTTCAATAGAAAATACACACTTAATAGGTTTAAGTTTAAATAGACAATACACACTTAATGGGCTTAACTATGTAACAATGTAACTATTTATCACTGAGCTCAAAACTTTTGAAAAATTGAATGAATCACCTTGGTTCTGCAAAGTGGTTTGCATTTAAAGCATTTCAATATAATTAATCATGGCGATACGTAAAGAGTCGTGCAGGTACAATGTATTCTCATCATCTAATTTGTACTTAGTATAATGTTATTTTCCTATGTGACCCCCCAGTGGTACTGCACAGATAGCTCATTGTGTAGATAACCGTAGACTTGTGCTTAACTACGAACAAACAAACAGCATTAATTTTTTTGTTTATTTACTAATATGTTTATTTATAAATTTCACTATACTTTATTTGATATTACGCTTATTTTGCGTCATCATCCTAGTATTTGGATTTACGACTAATTTAAATATATATTTTTTATGCCGAACCTAATGAGATTATATTGGGATTACGGCCGAAAATATCTTTAACAGCTATAGTACACAAATGACGAATCAAGGCATTCTAATCTTACAAGTATATATTTTATGACTTTCCATACACCTAGTTAGAATGGTATATTAAATTAGCTGTATTAATTACTGGATTAATTTTTAGATCTGATCTATGAATGTAGTTTGATTTGATAAAAAGTTAATGATAAATACTCACCGATTGAGTCGTAGCCTGGGCGGATTGGTCTTCTCTTGGTTGGTCATCGCCAGCAGGAGCTGCGCTGTTTGTTCTAAATGTCTGTTGGCTATAATAAAAGATAATATACAATTTTACGTTTACTCAGAACCACGATTTTTCTATTTATTTTTCAAGCTATATAACTTTATTGTCTCAATAAATAGTTGTGTAAAAACACAGTTTCTTCTGAGTCGCAAAATTCTGTTTTACAACGTCTCTGTATTGCGGAAAATGGTTTTTCGGGGTTCAGTTTGACAAAACTAAAGTTTCTAAGACATTCACAGTGAGACATAAAAAAACCCTTAAATACTTTATACCAGAGTCGGTTCTACAACTGACTTCGGGGTCTCTTGTATAAACCTGGTCTAAACCATGCTTGCTAAGGGTCTCTGGAGTACACTTGTGAAACTTTCAGTATTCACTTTACTCATATAGAAAAATACCTCTGTTCAGAATATTCATATTTTTTCTTAGTTTCCAAACTCGTATTTTTTATGCATTTCCCCCGAATTACAAACCTAAACACAGAAACGTTGCTATTTGTAAGATTGTGTTGCCTTGAAATCTGATCTTCGAGTGAGAAATTTAGACACTTTTAGACTAATTTTAAACTTTTTTTTCTCTCACACACACACACAGTCATTAATAAGAATTTAAGTTGGGGTGATTTACCCCATCCGGTAATAAGAATAACTGTAAGTCTCGCCACAAGCCTACCTCATGTTAGGCTTACAGTAGCTATGCATTTTACGAACTATAAGATCAGCAATTAGTCTGTGATCTTCTTGATTCTCACGTAGCAATGCCATGGAAGAGTCGTTCACCTACGTATATACACACACACACACATATACATATTTATATATTATTCCGTAAGATAGTCTATGCCTAAAATTCCACACACACACACCATTAAAGGTAATTTCAAATACACTAAATATCTTTGTGTTATTGTGTATTTGTTTTGTTGTGTTATTGTATATTTGTTTTGTTTCGCACGAAGCTGCACAATTGTCTATCTGCACTGTGTTCGCTACGGAAGTCGAACCCCAAATTCTAGCGTTATAACCCTCTCAAGTTTATTACTGATAGCTTTGTGTTCTTATAGTTATTGTTTGAATTTCAGTTTAATATGTGTAGACAGGACTTGATAATCAAGTGAGTGATGGGTGTAGTCAAGCAATGCGTACGTAACAGACTGGCTAAGCTGTACTTAATATATTTACTCTGTTATTTTACGATGTTTTAATACAAGTCGTTTTGCTCAAATATGAGTCTTCAAGTAATTTGACAGTTTTACGTAACTTACCTTAGATTACGCCTACTTCATTTTATAACCGAGGTTAAAACACATACAAAATGAAACAAAACCTACACGGCTATAACATTTAGATCAAAGAGTAAAAAACGTCGTATTTTACAAAAGTCAAAGAAGCCTTTAGAATACTAAATTATATAGTTTTACATTATATTACTTTACGTTTCAATAAGGGTTTGTTTGTAATTAAGCACAAAGCTACATAATGGGCTGTCTGTGCTCTGCCCACCACGGGTATCGAAACCCGGTTTCTAGCGTTGTAAGTCCGCATGGCCATAAAATGTTTGCTGCAGTACGTCTAATCACTATGTTGTAAAAAAAATGCTTTTATTAAAAGTCTTTGTGATATATAGTAAGACCCTGGTATAAACACCTCACGAGACTGCCTACCTGAAAAATGTATTCCGCCCATCTTTGGTCTGAAGAGTTTCTACTGCACACATGGCAAATCCTCCAAACATCCAGAACACTTCATCCACCCACTGCTTGTAGCGGTCAGTCATTGGAATCTGTTCCAATATGGCTGACCCAACGTTGGCCTTCCAGCAACCAGAGATGGATTTATTCCTGTAAGACAACACTTATTAATTATTACTCTTATTCCAACATGGCTGACCCAACGTTGGCCTTCCAGCAACCAGAGATGGATTTACTCCTGTAAGACAACACTTATTAATTATTACTCTTATTCCAACATGGCTGACCCAACGTTGGCCTTCCAGCAACCAGAGATGGATTTACTCCTGTAAGACAACACTTATTATTACTCTTAGAAAGGTCACTAGTAAAGTAAAACAATGAAACAGGTATTTACGTCGTTCTCCCAAAGAGAACGATTTAGCAAGTAGTAACAATGAAATCTGAAAGAAATTAATAATGTCTTATAAGAAGTTCCACTTTCTTAGATGATACAACAAATATTTCACGGCTCAATGAAATTACAAAGTAATGATAATGTTCAATCAAATATTGTTATATATTTAAAATTATTTCAATAATTCTCATACTCTTTAAGTATCCAGCTTAACAGCATCACTTCTCATCCAACTGAAAGCACACTTAGAAACCATGATTTTACCAACACTTAGTGTTGCATTCTCTGTTTCGATTTGACATTTTTGATGAAAATGAAACTTTTGCTACATTCTTAACCAAGAAAACAATTAATTTTCAATTAATGTTACATTCTCCGTTTCAATTTGGCATTATTGAAACACTTATTAAAGTGTATTTGTATTTACTTTTGTATATCTGTTTGTAAGAAAACTTGTACTGTTTCTTGTGCTTCTCAAAATATGCAAAAACCTCCAGAGAGTGTATTGTAAAATGCAGATGCACACATGAACTGAGTTTCGTTCCGAAAATACCAAATATTTCTAGATTCTTAACGTATTGATTTAAAACCTTGATCGATTGGTCCTTTACTGACAACCAGTCCTTTCAATAATCCCTTTTTTTTGTAATCTTATGGGTCTTTAATACGTATTCCTGGAGCTCCTACCATTCATTCTCCTGGACAAAGCGAATAAAAGTCATTAATGGCTTCCTGTGTTATGTATGTTAGATCTTCCACGTTTAGCCAATTGCAGTTGAGAGGTTCGTGTTAAAAGCTCAACCCGACATGGTTGAGGTCCATGTTGGATCTTTCAGGCTTAACCTAATGAGGTTGAAGTCCTAGTTCCTCCTATTGGTTATGGCCAGAAGTGGTAACTGTAGTGTCAGATAATCCAAACTTAAACTGTTACGCTTTTAGCTTCATTTCATTCAATTTCTTAAAGATGTTCTATTTATTAATATTCTATTGTCTAGAGGTAACTAAGTTTATACAATGGAACGGATATTTAAATTCCTTTTGAAATGTTTTCATGTCTCGTTCGAAAATATTTATGGGGGATTTTTCTTGCCTCTTTCCAAAATTTTTTTTCCAGAAAGTTTTATCCTCTATTTCGACTTTTCAATTATCAAGTTCTTAGTTACGAAGATTTCGAATAAGGAAGAGCGGCAGAACTCTTCTAGAATGCTCCTGATTTTATTTCTTTCGGTCCTGGGGCCTCTTACAACCGTTAGAGCGCCTTGGATTCTAATGTATCATTGATGATTCTAGGACTTATTTCCTCTTCAAGTATCCGTCCCAAATTTACGAGTAAAAGACTGAAGTCAACACCACCCACCGCTAACTCTTAGGTTACCAACGAATAATGGGATTGGCCGTCACATTATAACGCCTCCTAGGCCAGCTCCTGAATAGAGAAGCAAAGATAATTCTCTTTAAAAAAAAAAGCTCATATTTTTAGTAACATGTGTCTCTATGTAACTGATAAATAATTACTGTCTGATCATGCCTATCTAAACAGATATTAATGTACTTAGATGTAGCTTTGTAACTGTTCCCTATATTTTGGATGTGTATGTCGCATTGTTCATCGATGTAGAGCTCAACCACGCAGTATGTCCCACTAACAGCTACCAGGATGGAAACATCTTGGAAACACATGTGGTTGTCCACTTTAATCTTTCCCACACCATTGTGGGCGTGGCCTATCTTTATCATACAAGGGCTGTCACCTAAAAACAAAGTAAATGTAATCGCGTCGAATTGGGAAATTAAGTTCGAATCTGCTACGATCAAGTTCGTATCTGCTACGATGAAGTTCGTATCTGCTACGATCAAGTTCGTATCTGCTACGAGAATATTATGTAGATAAAACTAGCACTAAGCTATAAACATATGTGTATTTTAATGTGCATTAAATTTTGGAGTGGGATTTCAATTTTTTTATTTTTTTTGTCCACTGAATGTTATTTATAAGCACGAGATGGCGCTGATTGAGTTATTTCCCAAAATATTGGTGACAAATGGGTACCCAAATGTTGAAGTAATGCATTATAATAACTATAATTAATACAAATTGATCGTTATAAATAATGTAGTTTGAACAATGCATTTGATTAGATGTGCTCATATCATATCTCATTCTGATTCCGTGCTTTGATCAGATCATATTTCATTCTGATTCCGTGCTTTGATCAGAAATGAATATTAATTTGAATACGTTACAAAATCGTTAAATACATTATAATAATAATCTCACAAAGTCAATTATTGTTTGTTTGTAATTAAGCACAAAGCTATACAATGGGCTATCTGTGCTGTGCCCACCACGAGTATCGAAACCCGATTTGTAGCGTTATAATCTTGTTTGTTATGAATTTCGCGCAAAGCTACACGAGGGCTATCTGCGCTAGCCG